TAAAAAATAATTAATAAATTTTAATTGGTAGAAAAAAAAAAAATATATATATATACATATTTATTATTATTATAATTATTATTAATTTAATTTTATATAAAAAATGTGTTTTTGTTTACCCGTAGATTGTAATTAATAAATATATATATTTATATATATTTGTGAAGTTTTTAGTCGTTGTTTTTAATAATAATAATAATTAATTATTTTTTTATATGTAACGCCATTAAAAAATAACAAAAATATATATATATATGTACGTAAATATAATTTTTTTATTAAATAAGTTAATAATTATGTATGTATTTATGTTGTGATTGATTTTAAGGGAAAAAAAATATTAAATATAAAATTCTCCTTCAATTTTTTCTTTAAAATCATTTATATTATTAAATAAATTGTAATAAAATGATTAAAATTAAAAATTATAATAATTTAGTAAAAAAAAAAAAAATATTAAAAAAAGGAGAAAATTTAAGTTTTTCCATTTGCAGAAAGAGTTAGCAAAAAAAAAAAAAAAAAAAAAGGAAAAAGGGAAAAATGAGGGGGGAAATAGAGATTATGGCGGGAGAATAAAGGAAATGAAACGTTTTATAGCGTTTTTACCATCATTTATGAATGCATTTTATGAGTAAAGCTTTAAACCATTGTCGGATAAGATATGAGAGAATTTTGTTACCAGAACACGTTTTTTTTTTTTTTTTTTTTAAAAAAGATAAATACACCATTGCACTTTTCTTTTCTTTTTCTAAACCTCCATTTTTTTTTTTTTTTAAATTTTACCGAATTAATTAAGTCGGCTGAAACACTCAATAATTACATATAAAAATGTATCAATAAAATCATTTAATATCAATTTATTTTTTGTTTTAAAGAAAAAAATGAAAATAATAATAATAATAATGTGAAACTAATAAAATTATAAATAAATTATAAAAACAAGTTATAAAAAAAAAAAAAAAAAAAATCTTTTCCTAAGAAAAACAACAACAACAACAACCCCAACAAGTTAAAGACATAAAATTAATAAACCGTGAAAACCAAATATATAAGTTTCGATTATCAGGTATCGAATTGTAATAAGGCAATGATTTTTTTTTTTTAAAAAAATTATTATTATTATGAAACGTAGGTTCCCCCTTAGTGCGGGGGGAGGGGGTAGTTTATATAACAACCCTCTTCGACACAGTCATAAGGTTTTGATTTACGGCCGTGAAGGTTCCTCAACTGAAATTACGATCAGCAACAGAGACTAGAAACTCCGGTCTCTCTCTCTCTCTCTTTTTTTTTTTATTTCAGCTATAAAACATTTCAAAAACTTTTTATCTAAATTTGAAAAGGGTGAGAAGGTCGGTAAATAAAAAAGGATAAACATGTGATTGAAATAAAAAATAAAAAATAAAAAAAAAAAATTAAAATAACCAGAGATTATATGGAGATGTATATAAAAATACCATTACGCCATTTTTTTATTATTATTATTATTAATAATAATAGTAATAATATTAAATTAAGTAATGATAATAATTTAATTATTTGTATATAATCGATATCGATGTATTTTATTTTCAAATGATAATTTTTGTCGAATTAAAATTGGGGGGTGGGGGTACGGGGACGAATGGGAGGAACGAGGAAATTTATACGAAAATTAATTCGGTTAGATTTTTTTATGATTTTTTTTTTTTTTTTTTTTTTTTGAGGGGAGACAAGGGAGAGAACGAAGGTTTTTTTTTTTTTTATTTTAATAAGGTTATAGTTAAAACCCTCAGGTTTTCAACCCTCCAATGTTGCCTTTCCGCTAAAAAGTCGTTAAAATGGAGAATTTTTGCTAAAGTTTTCGCTCGAGCGATTTTAACGTAACTGCCATTTTTACGAGGCTTTCAAAACAAAAATTTCTTTTATTCTTTTTTTTTTTTTTTTCCTCTTTCTCTTTTTCATTTTATTATTTTTATTTCTCCTC